ATTATTAATATCTTCGCATCTCTCCCGCTTTTCACAAATTGTCAACCGCGATCAAATTAACGCGGAGTTAGTTTTACATAACGCCGTTCCTGATATCAAGACGGGGATCCAGGCTTTCCCCCTAAAAGAAATGTGCATTAAATCACCGGTGGTACTTCGTCCGTTGCTCTCCTCCTTTGTCCTCAGTCGATCGTAGAAGCAGCAAGCCGTGGCAGGTTCTACTTATCTCGAGAAGAGAAAAAGGGAGAGAGAGAGAGAGAGCGCGCGCTATATTCTTTTTTTTATCTAGTTACGAAGATGCGAAGGCGCGTCGCAAACCGACCGAGGGAGACTTTCTGCCGGTGGTACAAGGAGGTAGAGGTTGCCCAAAGGGGATGGCACGGAATTGGGGGGTGGAAAGGAGGGGGTGGGAGGGGGTTGAAAGCAAGGGTGTTATCTGGGTGGCGGAGAGAACCAAGTACCAACATAAATATTAGGCTCCTCGTTAATGCCTCTGGTAGCTACTGGCGTTACGTTTCGCAGTAAGTAAATTATGCGATATGAAATTATTAGCGCCATTAAAGAAATTTATACTTTTTCGGTGCCACTCTACTCGACCACCTATATCTAGCCCCTCCGAAGGACTCCGAGTGGAGACGAAAGGAACGGTGACGATTTTTCCTGACTTTATCTGCCTGCCGATGCTCATTTCCTTGCCTTCTTGCCCGCTTCTAGAATACCGCAACGATATCAGCTCTCTCGCCGCCCATCCCATTTTTGCCGCGACCCTATTTTTCGTTTTTCCCGTGCCTACCATCCCTACCTGTCTGATACATTGCTTAATGTTTTTGCAACAGTCAGTTCCCATTGTTATCCTGCGCTTTTATAAGACGCGGTATTTTAAACGTCAGATTTATATCTTCATCGTTTGTTTCAGATTATGATACATTTTATATTGTATAATGATAATTCGCAATGATCGCATGTACACATTAATTTTTCTCTGGAAAAACACTGAAATATTAGAACTCAAATTTTATTAAATTATTTCTAATTTTATATTCGTTTGTTATTTAATCAATAATGCGTAGTTTCTTTTTTTTTTTTTTGTAAATTTTGTATTTTAAATATGCAAATGAAATACGCGATTTTTACGCTTTCGCAGAACGAAACGTAAAAATTCGGATGCCGGAGTGCGGGCTCTTAAATTCCATCGTATCTCGCGAAGAAATCGCGCGATTACGAAATATTTCGACGGGCCAATCGCATTGCGCAACGCCGGTATGAATTTTGAGGCGGACTGTAGGCTACATTCTTGTGCCGCGAGCAAATAAAACGAGCCGACGAAGACAACATTATTACGGAACGCTGCCAGCCATTGCTCATGCCTTGCTTCCTTACGTATTTCCAGCCATATACATATACAAGGATGCGCGCACACCCTCTCGGAGAAATGTGTGTATATTCGCGTACATATTCGCTTTTGCATACACAGTTCGTGATACAAGTGCGAACACTTGGGTCTGAATTCGTTCCACACCTCTACAATATCGACAATAATTGAGTCTGCCTTCTAAGAGCGAAGTAGGCTCGTTAATTAGAAACTACATTCTCGTGTTTCCGTCACATTCATCACGCATTCTCACACGGAAAGATATACTCCGGATGATAATTCTGGATAAAGAGAAATTCTTATCCTACGCGATAAATTAAGCAAGACATCGGTAAGATCTTCTTACTCACACGTGTCGTGACAAATATATAACTATGAAAAGAAAGCGATATAATTGATGCGACACACTCAATCACAGAAATAATTTTAATTTTTTCTTGTTTTTTAATCAACACGAGAACGAATTATGATTGCTTTGAAACAATTGGAAAACTCAACTGCATATCTCTTGCATGTTTAAACAATAAGATAAATGTTAAAAAAACTGTTGATTATTTAAGCAAAAATATTTATTAAAAATGTTAGATCAAACATTATCTAAGTCAAATATATTTACTATTAAAAAATATTTTTTTAAATGTGATAAAATAATTCGGAAAGTTAATTTTCGGATCACATTGTGAGAGAGATGCAAACGAACGTCGTTGTCATTAGATTGTACAGATCTTAAAGCCAAACCACCATGCTAAAATATATGACTACGTTTCAGTAGAAAAGAGAATAAGGGACTAAAATGGTGAAGAGCGCTACAATAGAGTTGGCACGCTCTGTGGTCATAGAATCATGGCTGTCTATTCAATGAGCTCGAAAATAGCCTTCTTCTACAGATATCTCGTAGGATTTCACGAAATGGCATATTTTATGGAAGTGCACGACCTGCTGTACTTCTAATATCTCGTATCTGCATTGTCAAGCGTTAATTCTATAATGGTATACGAAGAGAGAAAGACGTCTCTAATTTAATGTGTCGCGAACCATTATTAATAAAATATAATAGCAAATATCATTTATATCTTTTAACTGTATCACAATGTATATTTAAAAAAAACCTAAACAAAATTATATTAACATATCGCAGACTAATTTGTTAATAAACTCAATATTCCATATTTAACATGAAAATTTTGGTCGAAGATTAAACGTGTTTAGACACAAGTATGACTAGAGAAATAGCTTTTATATCTCAATTTGGATTGCTAATATAAATGTAAAAAAGAGAAATAAGAAACACACAGGTAAAAGACTACGTAAGTTGAAGATCGTGGAAGCTGTGGGAGGTAGAAGCAACGGTGGTAAAAGGGTCGTCCAAGAGGTCACTGCCGAAGGAGTCGTAAGAGGGCGAGGAAAGCGGGTGGAGAGTAAGGAGGAAACACAGAAGGGGTAGAGGGGCAGGGGTGCCCAAGAGGAGTAAGCGGAGAAAGGGGCAAGAGGTTGCCCTCCATGAATCACGACACAGAGGCTGATTTAGAGGCCCAGAAGTTGCCGCTATAGGTACTAGCTGCCGCTTGTAACCTCCAGGTGAACTTACTGGAGAGAGTGTATCCTAATGGATCTTATACGTGAAAATCTCGAATAGAGCTAACGATATTGTTCTTCAATTTTTATCACAAGTATTATACATATATAGTATTATATTATTCGCATTGCTCCCAATTGATCTCAATAACTCCCTATGGATCTCTATTGATTAATTTAGTTTGTAGCGGTATAATCTCCTCGATATGCTTCTTTAGGTAAGAATAAAATATGTATTTAATAACAGCGTTTTAAGATTTAATTCCTTGTTGAATCATTAGAATGTATTGTGAATCATTTATCAATTTTTATATTTATTGTAATTATATGTTTTCCTTAAAAAACGCAGAGATTAATTAATAAAATTACAAACAATGATTTAAATCGTCTTATATACAGACAATCGTCAGAAAAGAAAACCTTGAAAAGACTACTAGTTTTATTTCGATACTCGTCAAAATTAAAATAAAATTAATTTACTTACACTCACCAATTTGATGTCACCAACACCGGAGTTGCAGACAATGTTGATCTGCAAAATATAAATATATAAATATTTTTTCTTATATATGAAACAATTATTAAAATATTTAAATCATTTTTGAAATATGAAAATTAATATTTATTTCAGTTTTTAAATTAATTTCAATATTTCAAAAAATTATTTAAAATACTACAAATAATTTAAATATTTTGATAATTATTTTATAATATTTATATGTTTATATTTTATAGATCAACATTGTCTATACAACTCCGTTGTTGCACATCAAATTGGTAAGTGTTGAATTATTTTAAAAAATGTTAAAAGATTATGTATTTGTGAAAATTAGGTATAAAATAAATCAATATGAAATAGGGATAAAGAATTAATTTTATAGGTAGGGAACGATATGAATTAAATAGAAAAAATTTTACCTTAATGCCTTATGCCTTCTCGGACCTTTTTCCTTTTTTGGTTACCTTTACTGCTCATTTATGGCACTCACAACACTCGCGAAAACACGATTAAGTACGATTGTGTGCGCGCACTAATCAACAAATTACGACGATCGCGCGACACTTTGCACGGCACTTTGTTATAATCACATGCGTCGCGGATTTCGGTACATTATTACAATGAGAGAATAATGCGAAAATTAGCTTGAACATTGTTCACGGCCAATTTTACACGCACAATTCGCGACAATATTATCTTTAAACATATGTTAATAGTATATATGATTTTTATATTAATATCTTGTGTTATAACAAGTGTGTGAACAAATATACGAATTAAAATTAAAGATATAAATATCCGTAGAATGCAATATATTCGAAAATATATCATTATTTTTTTTATTATTCACGCGCGATAGATTTTTATCAAGTATATAAATCATATAAAATTTTCACGCGTTTTAATAAATCACCGATATACGCCATATAAAGATTGAATTTTTGTTACACGGTTGATTGGTATCAATATAGGTATATATATATGTATATACATATATATAAAATTATATATATAATTAATTACAATCACATACTTATATTAAATAATATAGTAAGCGTTATGATTGAAAAATTGGAAAGTCAATTAAGAAAATGGGCTGTGAAAATATGTCAAGATTCAATATTACATGCGTTACATTGCAAAGAGACATACATATAAGTCACGTGAAATTAATGTTTCTACTTCAAATCAGTAAATCGTGCGAAATGTTTACCTTTAATAGGCAATCTTCTCCTCTTTAATTAAAGCGTTAATCATAGGAATTAATCAATCATATTAATAATCGTATCGGTGACCGTTAGTTGGAATAAAACGCGTTCTGTGGATCTTTCAATACTCTACAATCACATTCCTCGAAGGATAATATGTGATAATGAAAGAGGAGCGGCTCGTATTACCACCCGCTTGTCCGAATCTCCCGATGCGAATGATAACAAGGTCACGACATACGTAAGCTGTAGTGCGTCTCACTCATTTCTCCCCCTCTATTGTCACTATTATTTATGTACCATTGCTGCGTCTTACGTCGTGGCCTTGTCATTTATGTTACGGGACTCGAACGAGCAGGTAACGGCAGGATTTGCTCCGTTTTCATTGTCGTGTTTATCCTTCGAGGAATGCGATCGCAGGAAGTAAGTATCGAAGACGAATGTCGAATATCGTGAATCAAATGTTTAACGCACTAAAAAATGAATTTATTTTGTACATTTTATTCTGTCTGACTTTCAGATTAATTATTCATTAATAAACAATTGATCAAAAGTCGATTAATGTAACGAGAAACCATGATAATAATCTAATTTGAAATTTAAGGAATATTTCGTAATATAAATATATTTGATAACATTAAATATGGCGACGGTGTATCATTGGTATGTCATCTTTAACCTCGGCCTTGCGACGTATGTATGCTTAGCGCGTTGTTGTGTTTATGTTTATACGCAGACGTCTTATTATCATTCACGCGACGAAACTTTGCGTATCGTCATGTTACTTTTCGAAATCATGCGACAGAGATCATGTATTATCGTAAATTATTTATTCACACTCTTGTAGTGTAAAATCATGTTATTAAAATCATAATGTTATGTTCAATGATGAAAACGTATGCAATTAATTAGCAATAATAGTAAAGATAGTTTTGCCGCAACCATAATTACCTATATAACTTCTCATTATAAAAAGAGAGCATATACACTTTTACATACAATTTACATTAAAGAAATTTACATTGAACACTATCTTTACTCTCACCTTTCATTCAACGTCGAACACAACTCAGAAAGTCAAAAAAAGCCATCTGTAGAAATATGAATTCTACGCCGCAGCAAGTTGCATATAAAATTGGGAGCATAATTTTCGAGACTACTTCATTCTTGCATCGCATTCTTGTTGCGATGGAACAAAATATAGTACGCGTGTAAATACAACAAAGTTTACGTCGGCAGTGCTGTGCAAAGTGTCGCGTCGCAATGTAGTAATCTGCTAATTACCGTGTGCACGCGATGATCGTAATTGACTGTTTTAGCGAGTGTTGTGAGTGTCATAAATAAGCGGCAAAGGATATAGGAGAGGAGAACGAGGCTTGGAGAGACATTGGGCAACGGCGAAGCAACCCTAGCGTAAGTAATTTATAACTTATTTAATTTATATTGTTTTGCTACTTATAAAATTAGCTGCTCATTTACCTCTGCATGATTAATTTTACATTATTATGCAATATAATGTGCACGCAAAATAACCTAGATTTTATTTTAGAATATTCTTCAAATAGAAATTTATATACTAAAAAATATCTTTATAAATTACGTAACTTCTTTATTAAATCTCTGCTTTAAAATTGAATGAAAAATTTAATTACTCATAATAATAATATTTTTATTTTGGATATGCTATATAATTTGTATATGTTTATGTTTTTCAAATCAACATGTGCAATAATCTCCGCCGCTACGCTTCGTACTGGTGAGTGCTAAATTATTTGTCTTTTAAGCTCGACGTATTAACGAATTCTAAATTTTCACCCTAAGAACGCTCCAAACTTCAACGAGGTCGAATAAATTAGAATCAGTACCAGCCCATCGAAAGCATGGTGCTGATAAATTTCCGCGCGCGTTCTCGCAGACACGAGCTGCATATATTTTACATTCTCAATTCGGGATGAGCAGATTTATTGAGCTTCAGTGCCCAATATACCATTCACCTTCCTTGACAATCTTTCCACTTCTTCACGTATATATGTCTGCCGTCTGTATATATTTCGTACTTTCTATTGTTGTTGGGGATTATTTGTCAATAACTTATCAATGCAAAGATCTTTAGATATTAATGTGACCGAGAAAAATATATATATATATATATATATATATATATATATTTTATGCACATATTGCGCATGGATTAAATAGAACCAAGTTGACTAATATTTTTAATTTAAAAATCACGTCTTATTCTTAATTCCAATAAGAGAATTAATTTTTTTAGTCTATTATTAATTAAACTTTTTTCATTTAATTTAATAAATATTATATGAACTCTAAATCATAATATCTTTTTCTCTCAATCTGCATATAAACGAGATTAATTACACGAATATAACTGTTCCATTTCATATTTTACGTCAATTATATTGGCATGCTATAAAATTATATAATAATTTACAAAATTACCTATAAAATATATATAATATATATATATATATAAGCAAATTCGTATATACAACTCTATAACGCGCTGCGTCAACTAAATATATGAATTAGTATTAAGCATATTGAAATACGCAAAGCTCGATTATGGAAAGTGCGAAAGAGTAATAGGATCAAATATGAGAGGGAAATATACGTAGTGAAGGAGTACAAAAGAGAGTAGGTGCGAGAGAAGCTATAAGAGAGGAGAGTATAGCAGAATGAGTAAGTGCGAGCGCTCGTCGCTTCTCCATTTCAAGCCTAAGCGCGGCCATTCATCAGGATTTCGGCGCGCAGACGTGCTTTATTACTGCTCGGTCGAAATTGCTATCCTACGACTCCATTCCGGTCCGCGAGCTTGCATACACCGTACCCAAGCAAGCCTCTTTCGGCATAGTCAGGATAATGCATTAGTGCCTTATATAAGATTCAGCCACGCGCAAGCGATTCACATTCTTAACCAGACACAGGCACGGGTTAACTAAATTTAAATTATATCGGAGGAAACGTTAGCGTGTGATCGGTGATTCCGGTTGATAGCTGCGTATATTCTTATCATTGTTATAATGAAAAATTTAGAAAATAATTATAATAGAAATATATTATATTTATTTGTTCAAATTTTATTTTGTACACAGCTTCGATTTTTTCAACCGTATAGCTAAAAGCTTAATTGCCATATATCTCGACTTTAAAATAAATATCTTTTTTTTTAATTCCCTCCCTCGTTAGGCTTATATTTAAGGAGAAGCAAGTAATTAACACCTAAATAATTATATTTAATATTTTTCCTCGATAAGAATCTATTAAATTAGAGTTCTGTCACATTAACTTCGGCAACCTGCTGGCGTGCGTCGCGCGATTCACATGCACTTGCATGCACACCTATACATGATTCGCGCGCGAACACGCGACGACTTCTGCACACGTGCATACATCGGCACGCGCGCGTCGCGTCGCGTCGCATCGCATCGCATCGCATCTCCAACACGTGTATATACCGAAATACGAATGAAAAAGCTTAATGCGCCATTATTTACTTGATAGTGGACAAGAGGGGGGATGCGCTTCCAGGGGAGGCACCAGCACGTGTTTACGCGTTTATAACAGACGTGACGTAGAGTGGTTATATTCTAGCCCGGGCGTGTGCGCGCGTCGGTGGAGGCTGCGAGAGAGAGAGAGAGAGAGAGAGAGATAGCTGGAGGTGGCGGAGGCCGCTGTTTTGTGATGCAGCACGCACATTACCAGACCGTAATGCGGCCTCGTCGGGGCTCACCGGTTCATATATTTTATTTAGCACTGACACACACGGGGCCGAAATTACGCGCAGTTATTAATGAAACTAAACTATTAATTTAAATTCCATTGTTCCATTATAAATAATTACCTGTTAATTACCGGACGAACCGGGCCAACCCGGTGTAATGTGATTGGGAGGGGTGGGGGAGAGAGGGGGCAAACGATTGGGCTAACAAACGTTCGTTACAACGGGCTAATGTAACCGCGAATAATTTTTTTACCCTTCGCACTTTCGTTTCTGACAACGCGACTTAGAAATGACGAAATCTCACCCTGACTACCCCGAAACGTATCTACCTTACAGCTTCGATATTATTTATTACGCTGCATTATTATTTATTAACTTTTGTAATGCGCGAGAGCGCGTTAAGCTCACGCTCGTAAAATAGTGCAATGTAATCACTGACTATTAATCGTCGTCTGCCATCCACGCTGAAGCTTAATGAGTTACATTTGCCTGCATTGTTATAAGCATTATTTATTACGTCATTGTGTATGAATAAAAATATAATCCGCGATCGAGACTCGAACAAATTATTCGGGTTGTACGTTTAATAAATTGATCACCGAGAATTATCCGGCTGCGCATATTCGATCGACGTCGATTCTCTCAAGCTGCAATCATTAAACAGCGATACATTATCTCCGATATCATTATCTCCGCGGGGCCTTTTATTCCCACGTCGTCAGAGGGTGCAAGGTAAATATGCGTGCGTGCACCAACGGAGGAGTATGCCAACCACGTGTCTCAGGGCGGATTCAATTAATCAAAGCTGAGTCGCTGGCGGCCGGCGCTGATTGCTCTTGCGATGCACTTGGTCGCGTACACGTGATTACACGCTGCGAGATAGACAGATGAGGCTACGTGCCTGTAGTTAATCTTCCATACGTCAAACGGTACGAACGACATGAAGTGGAAGGCGAGGAGATATCCGCGACGTGGGTACAACGTATACAACCACTGCGCTACGTATGTATATATCGATATGGCGAGCGTCTTTGCACGAGGTGACTCCCGTAACCGCGTGCTGAAGAGTTCGTGACTGCCATACGTAGATAGATGTATCGCATGCGGGGGAAACATTCCGACTCGGTGAGCAATTGTAATGGGATGATCGAGCGAGGGACAAAAACACACGGCCGGGGAATTCCATTTTTTGTATCGCCCCTCGTCCGAAAACGCGAATAAAATATACGTGCAATTATGAGAAAAATGCATTGCACAAGTCATCATTTAATTTCGCAGAGGAGAGTTAGTTGGAGTAGTTACGTCATCTCGATATTTGATAGGCGACGACTCGATCGTGCATAATAAAGAGGTGCCTTGAGCCACGCGTTCGTCAACACGTATCAGGCCAGGAAATCACGATCACGAACGCGCTATAACTTGACGCGGCGCCAAGTGACAGTTGATTATTCGTCGGGGAGAAAATATTCGAAACATTGCCTCTTATCTTTTATTTCCAAATTTTCCGGAATCGTTCATTTCTTTCAGAAATTCTTAAAATTTGCCAAGGAGAAAAAGAGAGATTACAAATGATACACATCCTCGATTTTCACCGGCAATGGGAAAGAATGATAAAATGATGAAACGGGGACTGTCATATTTCGCGGTGATCGAATTTGCCAATCGTTTCCGCGTTTAATATATCCGTTGCTGCGAAATACGGGAATACCTAGTCGAAGCTAGTAGAAGGAAGGGGTCAACGAGAGAGGGTCGCGAGAGAAAAGCGAATCGAGGAGAGATGACGTAACGGAGACATAGTGCTGCCAGAAAGAGGAAAGCGCGATAGAAAGGCATCGGAGCGCACCGGCGCCCTGCCTCGGCTCCGCCGAGGCGCCGGCGTCACTTCCGCCCTTACTCCTATTCCACCCCCAGCTCCCGTTCCCTCTCGTCGTCTCGTCTCGCAACTGTTCCCGCGGTTCCTATCTCGATTCAGGCTGCCGGCTTGGAATCGCAGAGCCTTGAAAAAGGAGCAAGAGGAAATATACACCGACGACTGCCGGCGTCGGTAGGCGTTGCCCCTCGCCGAGCTCGCTCGAGCCAGAATCGCGAGCGACTACTACGACCAGGGCACACTCCGGCCACCAATAAATAAATATGAGATGCATCGGCTAAACAGTTCTCGGGTTGTTGATCTCTCGCGCGCGCGCGCGCGCGCGCTCGCGCGAGACTTGTATAAATCAGTCTTATGTATCTCTCCAACCCTTTTCGCGAAAACTTTGTATCTCGATGTTTCTCTGCAGGGCTCTCCGGAATTTCGCATCGAACTCCGGGTTTATCGGTATCGATTGAGCAAACCATGATTTCGCGATGAATTTAAATATCGTGTTTCTAATTATCTCGATTTTGGGAGCACTTATTCGTCAAATTTCTCTCGCGATTCAAAATGCACCGCATTCCTGGGAATCCTCATTATTCGATGGCACGTGACGCGCCTCGTAATGGGGTTTCTCCCTTGTTCTCCCCCGGTTCAAGCCCACGCAGCTTCTTTCCCCGAAAAAATAATAAGCGAGAGAGGGTTGGAGAGTCCGAGATACACGACGTAGGAGACGGGAAGACCAGGGCTGACAGGGATTCATAATTTCACGCGGGCTTATTGCAGTCGGTTATTTATCCTCTCTACTCATCGTGCATG